TCTTTCACACACCACAGTATTTAATAAATTTTTGTTTTACATTTTTTACACCAATGTAACAAAAGGCAGGAGGGGGTGAGGGAGGAAAAGACAAACAATGATCCGTGGTGATGCATATAAATGGGGGAGGGTGGGAAAGGGCAGGGGGAGGGGAAGAAAAAATAATACATGGACTTCTACAGAAACATAGCCTAAGGTCTYGATAGTAAAATGTGGTGCAAAGTAGGCCTCAGAGACTGAAAAAGTTTGTACAGCTTTATTCATGGGGAGAGGATGGCGCTGCATGGAGAGTATTGGATGCAAATCGTGACGTGACCAACAGAAAAGGGCGGGGGGATGATTCTCTACGAAAGGAATCTAACGAGTGCATGGCATGGCTGGTTAGCACGGACAGGACTTTAACTTTGCTGCTTTCTCTTCAAAGCCTCCACCAGGTCGTTTTTAAGAGCTTCTTGTTTTGATTTGTCTGCAAAAGTCTGCACAGACCTGTGGGGAAGAAGGAGAGGGGAGTCAGAGGTGAGCAGGGGAGGGTGGGGGTGGGAAYGGTCCTGGGAGGAAAGAGCAGCCCTTGAGCCCTGGCTCAGCTCTGCCCACGGGGTGAGAACACAGAGCAAAACTCACTCTGGGAAGGACAGCACCCAGGGATGGCACCCAGGGACAGCACCCAAGGATGGCACCCAGGGATGGCACCCAGGGATGGCACCCAGGGATGGCACCCAGGGATGGCACCCAGGCTGTCCCAGCAGCACCACTCGGCCCCGGCCGCCGCAGGGAGGGAGAGTCCCACGTTTGGGGTCACAGATGGGAAGAAGCCCAGCGTCCAAGGGGGTTAGCACTCCTGCTCTCCCAAAGTCCATGGAAAAACCAGCCACACCCAGCAGAAGGGCCGGGCTGGGGAGCTCTGACCCTTCTGCAGCCCGTTCACCCAGGGTCACCTTGGAACTGGGAAAAGCAGCCAGGGCTTCTGGCCTCAMATTGGCCTTTTTTTGTGCCTTCCCTACGGAATGAGTGATCAAAGCAGCTGAAGAAGAACAGAGATACTGTCACAAGGTTACTGCAGGCCTTGTCTTCCTCTGAAAAAGCAGAGGGAAAGCTCCACCTTTCAGGAATTGCCTTGGATCAGTGCCCTGGGAGATGCCCCTGGAGGAACCTCCGATTTCAATTCCACTTTAAATTAAAGGCCCCTCTTAAACAGATTGCTACAATGGGTTCAAATAAATTGCTAGAATGGGTTCTATGAAGAACCAGACTGGTTCCAGAGCAGATTCCACAGAGAAGTGGTGGGAACCAGCTGGGCAGGATTTCTCCCCACCTAAACCACTTCTCACAGCCTTTTCAKGACCTGGGATAGTGGAAGGTGTCCCTGCCCATGGCAGGGATTGGARCTGGATGAGCTTTAAGGCCCCTTCCAACCCAAACCAATCTGGGATTCTGTGATTCAGAGGGACCTTCTTTTCCCTGATGCTGTCTCYTGTAACAAGGCTCTCTTTGTGGTGRTGATTTTCCTGCCATTTYGRTAACAGTATTTCCATTCTCTTTCTCTGGACACTTCTGCTGCTTTCATGAAAACACACACATTTGATATTTGCATTTGTCCCAGGCTGAAGAAGTGGTTCTTGGCCACTATCAACAGTGTGAGTCTCCCACTTGGTCAGCTGAACGTGTTTGAAACAACATCAGTAACTCATTAGGGACCGGAGTGGAGGGTTAGGCTGGCTCGGGGTTAGTCACTGCYGTGCACCCCAACACTCAGAGCCCCAGAGCAAACCAGAGCACAGCAACAAATCCCCTGGGAGGCTGTGCAGGACACGAGCAGGTGGAGGCAACGTTTGGGTGAGCTTGAGCAGGACTGGCTTTCAARCTCCAAGGAAATTCAAAATCCCCCGGGCTCAAGGGGATGGGCGTAGGGGGAGCGCACGTTCATGGGAGGTACCAATGGRGTTTTTTTTTTTCCCCAAAAAGATTTCATCCTGCAGGGAGGACATTTGGATTACAGGGAATTTCTTCACAGCAGTGGTGCACCACAGGTGTACAAAGTGCTGGTGCCTGAGGGACAGAGTGTGGGGCCTCTGCAGTGAATCAGCCCAACCCAACACCGCTCCAGGCACGGGCCCAGCGCTCCTTTCCTGCTCCCAAGCCAGAGTGCAAAGTGGTCAATCCTGCCACAATTCCGAGCGTGAGGCTTCACATGGGGAGGGAAATGAACACTGAAAAGGTTGAAAATGAGAACCACAGCGTTTAGTCAGCTGCATTAGGAAAGAACCCGCGGGTGAGTGGGCGCCGCCGCTGCTCCGCCTGCGGGATTAGGGGTTAGTCGGTCCCGGTTACCATGCAGGGCTGGGCTGGTGAGTCCTGGTTTAGCTCACACCTCACAGGCAGCGAGGGTACCTGGATTGGTTTAGTTATCAGGCTGGATGTAGATCTGGCGCTGGGTCAACACTTGAGAAAGTTCCCTCTGCAACTGCTTATACTTTTGGTTGTCAGGAATAGCATCGATAGATCTACAGAGAGCAGTGGGAAACCAGGGAGCAAACAGGGAAAAGAACAGTCAGGAGGAGTCGGTAYCACAGAGCTGGGGGTCT